AGAGAAGAGAGTCGTCCCACTGAAGGCCAGAGACGGCTGGCTGTATTCGCAAACTATGCGCGACAAATTAGAGAGACGACCACTGGGTACGGTCAGAGGGTACGGTGATGGGCTCCCCATGTAGACTTTCCCCCGGGATAGATGTGTAGAGTGTAAGATCTTGCTTCCAGGCAAATGTATTATTTTACCGGGAATCTGAAGAGCATTTGCCTGGAATTGGAGAGAAAGGTGATAGTTTCCCTCTTCCGCAGCATAGCTGAGCAGGTTCAGAAGTGCGAGAGTGCGAAAAGTCACTCGACCACGAGACAATCCCGGCCGAGCGATTGTGATCAGTCATCTATGTGCCACAAAAGAAAATGCGATTTCATTTTATTTAGGATTTTAGCTGTAACATACCATACGTGGCTCTTCGTCTACAATATTCCCAATATTCCTGATGGAATGGGAATTTAGATATGCTGGTTTTTGAAGAGAGCGGAGAACCTGAGTTAGGGGAAGAAAACTTCTCGAAGCAAGGCCCGGAGAGAACCAAAACAAACGTAACCGGGATTCCTTAACTAAGGCCAAATTGATGGAAGACGAGGGCTCTCATACCCCTGCACCATATTTGCTGCTAAAATGCAACCTAACGCAACAAACAGAGTTGCAGACTTACACTGCGAGGATATACATGTATAGGCTGTCGTTGATTCCATTTTCGCAAGCAATCTTGGGAGCGACGTTCGTGACACTGCAATTTGCCGTGACGATCATCACGTTACTTTCTTTGCAAAGTTAATTCGTATTGAAACCCAAGGTGGGGGCGAAGGGACTCGCTATAGAAGTTACGGGGATGTGCATCGTCTGGCTGAGGGGCAGAAATTGAAGAGTTATATCTCACTTGGGGTGGTCAGGGCCGATAGCTAATATTTTTTCCCCATAAAGGTATCGCGTAGGGTTGTGTGTAACGATATAATAAATTCTCTATACAAAAGGAAAGACAGTCACACTGAGTTAATTTGCACTAGTATGGTCAACTTTACAGGTCAAAGCAAGGCTGAGCCACGCTCAGATTTGAGAGAGGAGGATTTGGGGCTTAACAAGGGGTAACACTTAGCCGATCCCCCCTTTTGAATGTTTTAATACTTCACTGAAGTGATCCCTCCTAATAACTTTGATGACTTTCGTGATCCCCCCCCCCCCCCCACATCCCCCTCCCCCCCGGCCGAAAAAAAACACCCCCCCCCAACAGGGGCGGCACCCCCCCCAACCACCATTTACACTTTTCTCCCCACGGCCCCAACCACCTCAACCAAGCCCAACATATTCCCATTGTAACAGTTAAGCAAACAAAAACAAGCGCAAACATTTTTATCAGGCAGCTAGATCACGAGCACAANATGGACAAATGATTGAGTATAAAGTAGAATGTAAAACGAGGGAAAATTTACATTAAACTTGAAGATATTTTAAAATTTTACCATCAAGGAAGGACATTACGGTCATCAAGCCATCAAGGGATCATTTACGCCTTGAAGAACCAAATTTTAACATGAAAACTTATGGCCAGCGAGCGTTTTCCGTTGCTGCCCCCCGACTATGGAACACGCTTCCCTTTGAAATTCGAGCTTGTTCTTTTTAAATCTAAGTTGAAATCGTTTCTTTTTAAAAAGTTATATGACATTTAGTTTCGTCATATTTGTTTTTGTTTTTGTTTCCTTTTTAAGTTGTGTACAGTAGGGTTATATGTAAGCTTGTGCTTAATGATATTCTTATGTCCTTTTTTACAATGTAAAGCGCTTATAACAGCTATGTATAAGCGCTATATAAATTCCATTATTATTATTATTATTACTTATCATAATAAGAGGCCATCAAGTTCTTACGAAAGATTGAGAAGGTATTTGACTTTCTTATACTAAGAGGGAATTCATTCCACAGGCGACAGATCCGAACAAAACAAGAGTTCTTAAAGACGTCAGTCCTGCTAAAAGGGACATCAAGCGTTATATGATCAACATTCCTAAGCGGTTTTGTAAATGAGCGAAACGATACATAATCGAAAATGTTTGACATATGTATGTTCCTGAGACACTTAAGAAAGACTTTTACTGGGTGTAAAAGCGAACTTGTTTTGCGTGGTTGGCTTATAGAACGAGGAATATTCATAATAATTATTAGCGCGTTTCTACTTGGTGTAAAAGCGAACTTGTTTTGCACCAATAGAACCATTGGAATGGCATCATTTTCCATAATTGGTCCCAATCGCACCATTGGTACCAATGGACCATCGGAGTTGCCCTGTACCCAGCCAGGTCACATGGGAAAATAATCTAAGTCCCCTTAATGAGATGCATATTCACCAATAGAACCATTGGAATAGGGTGCTTTTCCATTGGTACCAATCGTACCACTGGTACCAATGGACCATCGGAATTGCCCTGCACCCAGCCAGGTCACATGGGAAAATAATCAAAGTCCCCTTAATGAGATCCATATTCACCAACAGAACCATTGGAATGACATCCTTTTCTATTGGTACCAATCCTACCATTGGTACCAATGGACCATCAGTTTGACGAATCGTATCCGTTTGTGTATATTGGACATGTGTGTGCATTTTTGGTAAAGGACATTAAGCATTCTTTGAGCTTTCGAGGAGATAAGATCAACGTGATTATTCCAGCTTAAATTGTGGCTAACCAAAACCCGTAGGTCCTTCTCAACATCAACACGGTCTAACTTAATCCCAGCAAGGTAATAGTCCCTGTCATCGATTGATCTTATACGAGCCACCCTTAAAACCTTACTCTTCCTGGCATTAAACTCCATTCCCCAGATACGAGACCACTGAAATAACTTATTCAAGTCATCCTGCATTTTGTCACCGTCATCCCGCCCAAGAATTAAGCGAAAACACTTTGAGTCATCAGCAAAGAGGCGTAACGATGTTTCCTTTGAAATTGCATTAGGCATGTAATTGATAGAAAGCAAGGACATTAAAGGCCCCAAAATTTACCCTTGCGGGACTCCAGATGTTACAGGGAAGAAATCAGACGACTCGTTATCTATCACGACTCTGTGTCTTCTACCCGATAAATATGATCTAAACCAAGCACTCAAGCTTAAGTAGGAGTTTTTCGTGAGATACACGATCAAAAGCCTTAGAAAAATCTAAATAAATAACATCAACTTGTTGTCTCCTCTCAAGAGCGTTAGCGAATTGATGAACAACTTGAGATAGTTGAGAGACAGCGGATTTTCTTGGTAGGAAACCATGCTGCCAGTGGGTAAGATGGGGGCAAGTAACAAGTAATACTAATTCTTCCCAAAGTGGTTTTATTACACACTGATCACACTATAGAATATCACATTATACAGCATTCATATTACCAGCTGCCTTTTCGTATTATTAAAGGTAAGTGAATTAAAAAAAGATAGCTTAAAATGCTTCTCTCTTCCAGATACACTAGTTCGCCGCAGACGCAATTTGGGAAGTGAAAACAAGCTGCTAAATACAAGCGAAATAATCACAAGAAAGGACATCCGAAAAGAGGTTCATCTTGCACTGAGTAGCCATGTTTGTACGGTGTATTGTCCGAAAAGTGCCAGGGGAAAAAGAGGCAGACCTGGTCACAGAGGCCCTCCGGGTAAACATGGCCCACCTGGGCCTCAAGGACCACAAGGACCTAAGGGTCGTCCTGGAGATCAGGGACCTTCAGGACCTAAAGGCAATGAAGGTCCTCAGGGACCCAAGGGTGATCGTGGTAAATCCATCGCAGCGCCTTCTATTGTGTCGCCTCTTGTTTCTATGGTGGTAAATGAAAAGGATGCAGTCTCATTTCAGTGTCAGGTTAGAGGAAATCCGATACCTCAGATCACGTGGATGAAGGAGAACTTCAGTCTGACAGTGAGCAAACGCATCCAACTATCACGTGGTACCATGGTGATAACAACTGTGACTTCACAAGATGGGGGAATGTACACGTGCCAAGCAAAGAATATTCTTGGAGTTGTAAGATCATCAGCTACACTAACTGTTCAAGGTAAAAATAATAAAGTCCTGTTTCAATTTTTGTGCCATGAAAGGATATTAAGTACAAAGCGTTAAAGCAAATATAAAATTAGAGGTTACTCAACAAAATATCAGATTCACCTTTATGGGATTTTGAGATTTTGAGAGTAAATGCCTGAGGTATGACACAGTTTGCCTGTTGTGTTTAATTTCTAACAATATTTTTTTTACAGTGATAAAGATTTGTTTTATACTATAAAACTGAAAATGCTGAAAAATCTGAGAACTGTCTCGCTACCATACGCTTTCAATAAGGTGCATGGATGTTGTCACTGCTGTAGGTGGGGGGAATCTAACTAACTGATCAATTGTTATTTGTCAACAATAGTTGCTGCCAAAATCACTCAAAAGCCCTCGTCTATCATTGTTGAAGAAGGACAAAATGTGACTCTGGTTTGCAAAGCTACTGGTCAGCCGACACCGACAGTAATGTGGCGCAAAGCGTTTGGTCACGTGTCTAAAGCGAATATTGTGGTGGCAGGTTGGAATATGACCATACTCAGCGTTACGAAAGCAGACGGTGGGGCTTACGCATGCTCCGTAAAGAACCTTCTTGGCGAAGATTCTGCTGTTGCACTAGTGACAGTGATCGACAGGCTCGAATTAGTTTTGGCTCCTCCTCCGACAGTTGTTGCAAATGAGAGCAGCGACATAATATTAAACTGTGCAGCTCACGGCAAAAAAGATATTCTTTGGGAAAGACAGAGCCAAGGACTTCCTAAAAATCACGTCATTTTTTCAAATGGGACATTGCTTCTGAGGATGGTTTCTCCAAGTGACGCCGGAACTTACAAATGCGTAGCGAAAAATTACCACGGCTCTATAGAAACAGTGTCTGTTGTTAAAGTGCTAAGTTATAAGCTCAGGTCCTGCAGCGAGATAAAATCGAGACGCCCTGGAAGCTCTTCTGGTAATTATATAATTGATCCTGATGGCAAAGGTGGCGTGACTCCATTTAGCGTGAATTGTGACATGAATGACAAGGGTGGAGTTGGCGTGACGGTCATGGGTCACGACAGTGAGAGCAGGACCTATGTTAATGAAATTCCTGGATGTAGCTACCATGGATGTTACCGTAAAGATGTAACTTACTCAGGAGTTACTACCCATCAACTGGCAGCGCTTACTCAAGTCTCGCAGAACTGTGAACAGTTCATCAAGTATGAGTGCACAACTGGCTCAGGGTTTCTAGCGGATGGCAGTGCCTGGTGGGTCTCACGTGACGGAACA